AATGTGATCGTACTAGGCTTGAAGACGATCAACGCCAAGTTCATAATATTGACGGGATTGTGATTGCTTTTATCGCGAATTCTGCGACTTATAGCCATTTGATGATTTTCTTCGTCTGAATCTGATGAACTTGCACAAAACAACACGTTATGGTTCATTTTAGTGGCTGCAAAACTAAATTTAATAAATGTCTATATAAATTTGAATATTTTGCATGGCCGATAATATGATGTCCTGCACGCCTTATTTCGTTAGTTTCGCGAAGGTTTTTTTTTGTCATCTGAGCTGTTTTGGCTTGACGCACCATAGTAACCTGTACTGAAATTTATCTATTGCAGTTAAGTACGAGGTAAGCGAACACTTATTTAGAAAATTTAAATACATAATATTAGTATATCAAAACGTATGCATGTTCATAATCCTGCCAATGCCATCGGTGCTACCTCTTGTTAGAATGATCTTTTGATTAAGTTTTGGAATAAGACTAAATCATCAAATTAATTTCAGAGATCTTTAGAAATAAATACGAATTTAGGGGATGTGATTGATCAGTTATATTAATGTCTATAAATTTAGTAAATAATCACTCCGATATAATGATTTTGTTGGGTGATTCAACTTAGCTGTTATCTTTGGAATACCGGAATTTCACGCCATTTATCAAATTTATAATTAATTTATAATCTGTCGTAAAATAATAAGTATATTAAGTGCAATTTGGCCTTTAAATAAGGTTGTTTAGTAACTGTTAATTATTAAGCTTATAACGTAAATCGTATCAAAATTACTTGTATCAATGCTCAGATAATTCTTACGATTTAAATGGCAGATATAGAGGTTGTAGTTGCCTATATAAGTTTATCACGTGTGTGTTAGGATGCCAATTTATTCTTGTGATGTATCTTGACGTATCTTGTGTTATATCTTTTTATTTCATCTATCACCATAGATGTTCTAGGATCATTGTGGAGAGTGATATTTTTGACATACCACGTTGCGTTAGCAATGTTCCCACGACAGTCGAGTCTAAGTGACCGGAACAGACTCGGTGTTTATCCGTCAAATCGGCAGAATTCTGCCGCTATAACAACAACAACAGCAATAAGAATAAGGGTTTTTGACTGGTACCTTTGAATCACATCTATGTTGGATCTAAGTGCTCTACCCCTGTTTTGAGTGCCCTAAAACCATTCGGGTTTCAACATAGTTTTGAAGATAAGAATTTTGTTTTGCAGATTAAATTTTTACTTCAGCCAAGTAACTAATACCTACAAGTAGTTTTAATTTTGAGCTGCGTTCTGTTGGCTCTAATATGTTCACGCCAAGACAATATTTTATCCCAATGTAATCCCAGATATTTTACACAATTGGATTTTGGAATTAAAAAANGGATTATTCCTGCTGTTGTACCAAATCCTTCGAAGTCGCCTCTTGTCCTTAACGTTCAGAGACGTCATCAGAATCTAGTTGTATGTTTTTATGTGTTCGAGAAGTTTTATTGCTATAGTTAGTTGAGACGGCTTCATGTATTTTGTAAGTAAATATCTCTTTTAAATATAAAATAATCATTGTTCGGTCTCACTAAAATAGTAACAAAGTATTGTAAACTCTACTGGCACCTTCTATATGTCGACTAGTGCGTTAGAATCTTCTATCTGCTATCCTTTATCGACTTCCAGTAAAAATTTCATGACATTTCATCTAATGGAAGTGAAGTTATTGAGTTTTAAGTGTCAGTATGTTTTTATCATCGGTGCGAAAATTAGAACAAAGAGCCAACATTAAATTTTGTTTTAAAATTGGTAAAACTTTTACCGAAACATTTTAATTGATGAAACAAGTTTATGGCGATGATTGCTTATCCCGTAGCAGAGTGCACGAGTGGTTTCAATGTTTTTAAAATGGTCGTGAAGACATAAATGAGAAATGAGCCGAAACCCAAAAAATCGCGCCTGGAGAAATCAAAAGTGAAGACAATGCTGATTTGTTTTTATGATTCCAAGGGTATTGTCCACAAAGAATTTGTTCCACCCGGCCAAAACGTTAATGCGGTATTTTACTTTGGAGTTTTGAAGCGTTTGGTGCGCCGTATTCGACGTGTTCGGCCCGAATATCGCGAAGATGGAAGTTGGTTTTCACACATCACAATCACATTTTAACAATCAACCACTCCCCTTATACACCTGATATGGCACCGTGCGACTTCTACCTTTTCGTAAAAACACATTTGCCGATGAAAGGAAAGCGTTATGCAGACGTGGAGGCCATTCAAAAGGCCTGCACCGGCATACTGGTGGTCATACCGGGCAACGAGCTAAAACACTCGTTTGACATGCTTTTGGACCGTGTAAAAAGCTGTATAAAAGCAGAAGGAGACTAGTTTGAATAAAATTAATTGACTTTGCCGATAAAACCATTAAGTTTCTAGTTTTTAAAAGTCCTGTTTACTTTAGAACGCACCTTGTAGGTATAAATTTACACATCTGAAATGAATATCATAGGATAAGCATTTTGTAATTTTAAAACCGTATAAATTTAAGTCAGAATCAAATAGTTTATTAGTATTAATTTACTAGATTGCTGTAAAATAAATTCTCCAAAGGGGTGTTAAAAAAAAAAAGCATATCTCTATTGGATTCAAGTCGGGCTAGAAAAAGTTTTGTGTCGGATATCTTATTGCTGCTTCTGAGCAGTGAGTAAAGCAGGTAAATTAAAATAATTAATCGTAATTATTAATTATTTCGAGCAGTTTAGCGTGAATAACAGCAAAATCAATCAAATCTTACTGAGATCTGTGGGGCAGTAAGAGGGACATCCATTTTTTCCCATAATATATTTACATAGTTCGAAACCTTTGGGGTTAGTGATTAGTAAGACCAGATCCCCACCATGGATGTTTGGCATTGAAAATGATTGTTTACTTATGTTGACACGCGGAGGTAGATATAGTGGGGTTATGATAATCCCTCCATTAACGCTTGTGATTTCTACAGATGCATACATATATATTCATTTATATTTATATCAAAACAATTTTGAGTTTCTTATTTTTATTCTTATTCGCCACTATCCAAAGTATTTTTATTATTCTATGCATATTTGCATATTACATACAAAAAATAAATCACAAAATTAAAATTTCTAAACGAATCGCATATATTTCTTTGAAACCGAGCGCTCTTACGAGTATTATGTGTCACACTTTTATTCAAATGTATTAATCTTATTTGTGCTTTGTGTATGCTTCTAAACGTCATTGCTTTCTCGAAGAGAGAAATTTTTTAGCAATACAAGGCAAAGTTTTCTCACTGGAGACTCCGCTGCTTGCTTGCTTTGATACTGTACGGCTACATGTTTTTTCAATCAAACATTATTCTTGTATTTTCAAATGTTATCAGAAAAAATATATTTTTAGACCAAGTCTCTTCCTAAAGGATGTCTTGAACACATTCTTTTTGATTTCTAAGGATTCTGCCTACTTTGGATGATATATTTATACAAACTGTTCTTTTTGCAGTCAAATAATGCTCAAATCTAGCATCACATACTTTTCAAAAGTTGGGAATGTTTTGTTGTCAGCTGATGCAAGTATGAAACAATTTAATTTTCTCCTCTTTAGTAAAGCTGAAATATGAAAACTCTTAATTTGTAATAAAAACATATTTAATATTATATTCCTGTAACGGGATGACACTTTTTCTATTAGTTGAAAAATACATAAATATTTTCTTAAAAAATAATAAAATGGAAGAACGCCAACACGAAGCGTCAACATACGAGAATTGCAAAACTATCAATAGTTTAGTCTGACCACTCGATAGTATAAAAAAATACTATTAATAGTTTTCCCCTTGAAATCTACTTACTTTTCGCTGGTTTAAATTAAGAGACCTTGGCTTTGTACACTTCATTTTTTTGAAATAATCTTTGGGTTTATTTATAAAACAAAACTAGAACAATAACGGAAAACACAAAAAAGTTTCATAAAATTACATATAAGATTTCTCATGTTACTATATAAACTGCTCTGAGAGCTGACTTGTTATAAAAAGGTAAATATTTTCATACATTTACTAATGTAATATGAGATCAAGAAAAGTTTACTTAAAATACGTTACTTACTTACGTACGAGTACTTTATTCCTCAATAAATCACTTATTTTTGTTAAAAAATTCTTAATTTCAGCTTCATGTATGAATAACTGTGGTTATGTGCAGCCAGTATTTCAGAACATTCGAAATTCTTACCTAATTGTAATTATTTCCGCAACATTCCTTCTAACGCATCCAAAACCTCATTAATGTGTTAAAAATTGTTAAATTTAATAATTTATATATTATTAGAATGAAATGAAAGAAAGGTTAAGGTTTCGATGAGTTCCTTATGGCCCAATGTGTTGACAATTGTAACCGAAACTCTTGTGTACGTATGATTAATTAATCCCTTTCTTACTCATTGGGCTTATGAGTAGCACGATGTGTATGTCTAGTTACCATCAATGTATTGGAGTTTCCGTAGCCGTGACTTACTGAGATGTTATTTAAAATTAGACTTCAAATTTGGTATTTCAAGACTATATTACATACATACATTATTATGTAACTTTGTTAAGTGAAATTTTGCAATATTGTAAAAATTGTTGATAAGTTTAGTTAAGGCACAAACCATCGATAGTTAAAATAAACTATCGATAGTGAGACGAAAATAAAACTATGATACCCTTTTGCAGTTCCACAATATAAGTAAAAGTCTGAACATTTATGTTTTTTTAATTAAAATAAAGTAAATCAATAATTAGTTAAAGATAATTTTAAAGTTTCACATGGCACATGTTAAAAATGTGTAAATTTTTTATTCACATTTAGTTTTAATTTTTTTTCTGCAGCATCTCAGGAAACGCTAATTCCGCAAATTTTTTTTTTTACATAATTGGTTTATGATATTGTGATATGTGTATATTACTGACGTATATAAATTTGTTGAGATAGACCTTTGAATTTTTCAGGCAACTTCTGACAATATATTACCGGCTAATTTAAATAATAAACAAATTTGCGACGAAATTATTCGAAAGTGTTCACCATCTCGTCGCCTGGAATCACGAGAACTTTCAAAAATACTTATTCAACCGCATATTAGGGTAAGTTAATAAAGTACATAAACATAATTTCTACATTAATAATAAATACGATTATTTCCGTCTTATAAGGTAAATAGTTTTTTGTTTTAAGATATTCTAGAATCAGTGTTCAGATCTTGAAGTGAGGCGACTATCGTACCAGTAGCGTAGAATTATCGTACATGAAACGAAATTATCGTACTTTTAAAAAGAATGAATATAATTATTAAATAAATCTTATTCAATGTAAAATTAATATTCTTACATACGCTCTTTAGTTAATTACTTAAAAACTATTGCTCTGAAATAAAATAATATTTATATATTCCAGTTACAGTTTTTTTTCGAATTACTATTTTAAATCTTCAACGCAAGCACGTTAGCTCAATACAATAAGAAGAATAACAGCCAACATTCGAACACAAAATATGCAAAGTCTGTGAAGTCTGAACATAATCGAAATCAAACCGCAATATCGATATTATTTGTTCGTTGAACGAACCAGTAGATGGCGTTGTGAGCAAAAAATTTTATTTAAAAGCCAGTTTAAATTTGCTGCTATAAATTTCATGCTAGTTATTTTGGTGGTTATATCGCACACTAAATACAAAAAAGTCACAACTCAAAAACTTTCAAAATCGATTTTTCTCCATCTATCAATTTGTAATACACTTATCTAACTTAGCTGTAATATTGTGGTAATTGCATCGTTTGCCTCGCTTTTGCAGTATCAACTAAAGAGTACTTTTTGCAGTTGTATAACTTTTGTTGAAAAAAATTTCCGGTATATTTAGCAAAGCGGTGTCTCTCTATCTGAAAAAAGTGAGTTTAATCATCTGTGTTATTTTAAATGTGTCGCTGTTAAACCAGAAAATCAACAATACGTGAGTAAGACGCTTTTGCTTCTGCTGAACACCTGCCATTTTTCGAGTTGTGGCGATTTTGTATTTAGAGTGCTAGATATTACTTTGAAACCAGGCTCGGTTACAGCGGCCCAAACCATTAATTGTGGTGGGTATTGCCTCTTGGTGGGCAACCGATGACTCAAATTTTCATATGAATTTTTTAATATGCGTCGGATGCTGAGGTCGGATATTTTCAGATCTTTAGCCAATTGATTGGCACTTCGTCGTGGATTTAGCTCAAGTCGCTTCTTCACTTTTAGTATCATATCACGTTGCAGTCTTTTGATGACCAAATCCATGGCGTCTTGCGGTTCTACCATTTATATTATAACGAGTTATGGTGCGATAAATAAAAACTTTATTTACATTAAGTTGTTCGAGCTCATGAACAATCGCTGGCTGTGATTTTCCAGCTGAATATAAAGCAATTACATTATTACCTTTCAATTCCACCGCTCTTCATCACTTTTTTTCGCGATAACTTTTGACAAATAGGTTTTTGTATGCTTGTAAACAATACTCCGTACTGTCATTAGCCACTTTATAGAAAGCTAATAGCTGCGCCACAGCTGTGCGAACGATCTGAAGTTGTTTACACTTCGAGTGCCGAACCTGTATATATATGGTATTTCTTCTTGACGGCCCATTATCGGTCTGTTGTATATGAAACAACTGGACAGGCTCTAGAATGGGTAATTTTCGATAATGGTTCGGTTATCGTTTTATTTAAATTTTGAATTAATTCAAAAAAGTCAAAAGTATCCTAGAAAAGGAGATAAGAGAAAAACATGCTATGTTGAGAGAGCGAACGCACATTATGAGTGTTAGAGTGAAGGAAAATGGAATAAACCGTTACATTATATACTTTTGTAAACCTAACTGGGTCGGCTTAACTGTAGGTGACGTAACTATTGGCGAACGTCAATTCCGTAAGGGGATCGCAGTCGCAGTGTTCAAAGCAAAAAGTGAGTTTTTATTTTTCGCAGGATGTGTTTTGTTTTTGTTATAATCGAATACATATATTACTGCTTGCATTAGGGGCTAATTTCGATTAGTAGTTTGTTTTTGACAATTGAAAAGAATAGTCACGTTTTTGTGTGCTCTTCGATTTTTGATTTTCGATTTTTAGTGAATGACGTCAACAACGATCCGGGTTTGCTCAAACGGGTCATAGCTGGTGACGAAACGAGGCTACAAGTATATGGTTATGATGTCGAAACCAAAGCCCAATTATCCCAGTGGATGCTGCCAGATGAGCCAAGACCGAAAAACGCACGCAAAGGTCTACCAACTGTGAAGGTTTTGTTCGCTGTTTTCTTTGATTACAATGGTGTGCATCATGAGTTCCTGCCAAAAGGGAATACTAAAAGGAAGTTATGCAACGTTTGCGTGAAGCAATACGGCTCAAACGATCGGAATTGTGAAAAAATAAATCGTGGATTTTGCATCACAATTATGCACCATCTCACATATCAGTACTTATTCGTGATTTTTTGTTCAAAAACAAAACCGTAATCATGCCACCGTATTCACCAGATTTGGCTCCCTGCTACTTTTCCTATTCCCACAACTGAGGAAAGCGTTTTGTCACAATTGATGAGATCAGTCAGAATAGAAGAAAGAGCTGATCGCCATACCAAAAAGCTCATATCAGAAGTGCTTCAAGGATTGGAACAAGCGTTGGCACAAGTGTATTATATCCTAGGGGCATTACTTTGAAGTGGACAAAATAGATATTGATGAATAAATAAGTACTTTTCAGAAAAATTCTAAATTCACTTTTTCTTTTGAACACACCTCGTATATCTATGGCAATTCGCTTAAATGGTGCATCCGAATTGTACTGCTTTATCTGATCATGATTCCAGGATTTGGCTTTTTTGTTCCAATGCACTTACTACGATCTTTCAACTCATCCAATTTAGTCTTAATTTTATCCTAATCTTCCGACTGTGACCACACCTGTGTGCGTATATCAGACGCGTCTCCCGCTCTTTCAACTATGGGAACATATGTGCTGTAATGTGCGATGGCTTCTCTGCTATTTGCGTTAACAAACGCACCCAGTGCGCTTCCAACTATGAGGTAAATTGGGATTGTTGTGCCAATATTTGTGATAACAGTTTTATATATGCAACTTTTAAAACATCGGCGAGGAAACCGCAACCTATAGTGGCGAGTCTTTTCTTATACAAAGCCTTGCATCCGCATAGATACTGTTCTACAGCCCTTGTTTTTGTACCTCTTAGTAGCTTCCACAGTAACCGTTGTATGGTATCCCCTGTCTGCTGGCGTGATTTGATCTTGCTAATTTATCCGCTTTACATTTTTATAGAATTATCATTGTGTGCTGGAACCCATTGCAGGTTTATAGTGAAATAGGATGTAAGTTCTACTGATACACATTCCTTCACTATCTTCGATGAAACTGACTTCGCTGTCAGTTGCTTACAGATCCAGTTAGTGGGTAGTATATATAAAATGTTTAGTGCCTGGTTTGGCGATGTTCTAAGAGCTCCATTAATATATAAATTTTCAGCTCTGAAATCTTTCAATTTCTGCTACTACCGAGTTTAACGCTGGATTTTTATATAGGGTATGTATGTCGCGAATTGCGACTTTTCTCTGGTTAAAATATTTTTAAATATTGTATATGCACATATTTACACAATACAGCGAAAAAATACTATAATTAATTTTTTAAAATTCACATATTAACATAATACAATGAAAATTCAATATAATTAATTATTTTTAAAATTTAAGAATTGACAAAATACATTGAAGAATTAATATATATTTTTTTAATTTAAATTTTTACATAATACAACGAAAAGTCAATGTAAATAATTTTTAAAATTTTCGTATTTACATAATACATTGAAAGATCAATATAATTCTTGTTTTAAAATTTCAATATTTACAATGATAAGTCAATACAACTTATATTTACGAACTAAATTACAAAATTTAAAAAATGTTAATAAAATAAAATTATTATATATACATTTCCATGTATTTCTTTTGTTTGATTCGGTGGTGGGTCCGTTCAATGCCTCTCCTTTGCTCTTTTAAAGTCAAAGTCAAACGACTAGTTTTTAAGCTTTGCTTCCACCTCCAGACATCCCTCAACCGTTTGAACTGGTAAAAGACTTGCTACCTCGTCGAGAGTGTCATCTTTTGGCACTCCGGTCATGAGGCACACCGATCGCTTCGTCTTTTTTCTCTACTCTGTGAACTTTGTGCTGGCATTTCTAATATATCTATAGACAGTTGAAATAGAAACAAGCTTTTATAATTATAATTATATTATATATAAAGATTTAGTGCTTGACAGTTATCGTCACTTACCCATTATGCAACTTTCTCTTTAATGGGACTAATTTTGAATGATCCTAATTTCTAGACCATATTGAAATCGCCGCTAAGTGTATGCCTTTCATTGAGGCGTAAGAATGTTTGTTGCCAAATATTGCATTGTCATCAGAATTACGAATTCGTTGTCGCGTGCGGCTCTGCCTTTGCTTAGATTTTTCACATTCTTGAACGATATATCCAACAAGTTTCTTTGAAACTTCATGATTCCAAAACATTTTACATTTTAATTGCAACTACATACCACACTTCAGGTTACACCTTCAAGAAACTGCGCACTACACAGTGACTCGTTTTGGGTGAAGTTCCGCCTCGTGGATTATTTTTGGACCTAATTCCCTTCATATCACACACTTCACAGCAATTTATCAAGTTATTGTCTTCTTCGGCCGTTTAACCTGCTTAGTATTTGAACTTTTTGCAGAAACAGGTTTAATTCATCAGAATTATCCGTTGTAAAAGCCATCTGCTAGCTCCAAGTTGCGCCGTTAAGTTTCGAGTCGAAACTCTTGGATTTGCCTGAGTTAACGATGCAACAGCCGCGATTATTTCTTGACAGATTTAAGATGTGCATAAACTAATATCGAACAAAATACTGCCGACCACAAACTTACCTTTAAATTTACTTTATTATACCCTGAACGGGTATATTAATTTTGCCACGAAGTTTGTAACAGCCAGAAGGAAACGTCGGAGACCATATAAAGTATATATATAAATGATCACCGTGACGAGCTGAGT